TCGCCGCGGCGGGGCAGAGCGGGCAAGTTGAGCTTCCCTGGCCCCGGAACTGACCAGGGCTGTGAGGGAAACGGTTTGGGGGAGCAAGGAAGCTCCGGGGCAGCAGGCACAGTGCAGGTCACGACCGACTCCAGGGGAGCCCGAGGGAAGGGGAGAGGGCAGAGCAGAGAGAGCGAGCGGACAGGGATCAATGAAACCACAGAAGCAGAGAGAGAGGCCGGTGGGGCCGCACCGAACAGAAGCTGTTTCCGCTGTGTTAATAATTTATCCCTGCTGCAACTTTTCTTACCAATAAATAGGAAATAATTTGTTAGGGAGAATTCCCCGGGTCCCAGGGCTCTCTCCCTCCAGGCAGAGGAGGGTGTGTTTCCTCCTTTCTCCCAGCAGCCTGGAGGGTGCAGTTACACCAGAACTGAAGACCTTAGGATGTCTGGTCAGAGCCGCTTGGAGCCGCTTGGCCCACTCCTGCTCGGTCATTTCAAGAGGGAAACTGAGGCAAAGGCAGGCGCTCGAGTCCTAATCCCATGGCTTTGTGGGCCGGGTGCTCGTAGTTCCCTTCTGTGCTGTCCCGGAGGCCTCTCCAGGTGGGAGAGGGTGTCGCTCTGTGCCCGTCCACTTCCTCCCCACTGTGGCTGCGCCCTGAGTCCCAAACTTTGTGAGAACCAGAGCTGTTGCTGCCCCCCTGCTTCTCCCGGCTCTCCAGCACGAGCCCTTTCCCACCGGGACCGCAGCTGCCTCCAGCTTCCTGGGGAGGTTGACAGCCAGCGTGGTGGACATGTTCAAATACTCTCTCCGCTGCTCAGCTGTTCCGGGCATGCCCACACGTCTGGGTGGCAGGGCGACATCTGCCTCCCCTGTGTCTGGGGAGAGTGGCAGGGGCCAGGGTGGCTGCATCCTCACCCAGGGTGAACGGTTCCGTCTCCCCCACTTGTGTTGAAGCTGGGACTGCTTCCTGTCACACTGCAAGCAGTGTGACCTTGGGAGGTTGGTCAGCCTCTCCTCATTGGCAAAATGTAAACAAAAGGCTTCCTTTTGTTTGCAGGACTGGAGACTGAACCCAAGGCCTTTGCACTGAGCTATATTGCCGACTCTTTTTTTCATTTTTAATTTTGAGACAGCATCTCATTCAGTTGCTAAAGTGTCCAGACCAGGTTCAAACTTGGCAATCCTCCTGCCTCAGCCTCCCAGAGTGCTGGAATGAGAGGTGTGCACCACTAAGATTCCAAACCCCAGGATGCTATGAGCATCTGGCTCTGACTGCTGAAGCCACAGGGCCTGGCGGTGGCTGGAATGTCCTCCCAGCACCCTGAGCAGTCCGTACACAGGTGCTGGCCATGCAGGACCTAGGGCCAGGGTTGCTGACCTCCAGGGACCCTCATCCATCCCACAAAGATGTCCCATGTCCCCGAGGAGTGCAGGGGCTGGGCTGCAGTCGGGGCAGAAGTGCTACTGCAGGGAGTTTACCCTCTGATTGAGAAGCCAAGACCAAATATCTTTTCCTTGCCTGTCCCTTGTTCACGGCTGAAGCTGGATGAGAGATTGGCAAGTCGAAAGCACACAGGTGACTTGAGCAGCAGTTTCGCTGACGTGAGAGACTCTAGAGAATATGGACCCAAGGACAGAGGCTCATCTGTGTGTGTTTCTGCTAGGTTTGGTGGGCACGTGTGTAGTCTTGCAGATGTACTAATGGATTAAATAAGTCTGAAGCAGGGCTTGGTGCATGCCTGTAATCCCAGCACTCTGGGAGGCTGAGGCAGGAGAATTGCAAGTTTAAGCCCAGGCTGGGCAGCTCACTGAGTTAGTGAGATTCTGCCTTAAAAGAAAATGTTGGGGGGAGACAGGGATTTAGCTCAGTTGTGCTGCCTCACAAGGGCGAGGTCTTGAGTTTGATACCCAGCACCAAAAAAAATGTTGGGGAGCAGGACAGGCAGGTAGCTCAGTGTGAAGTACCGGAAAGCAGGGAGGAGAGGAGGGACCGGCTGAGCAGACGGTAATACAGAGGTCACTTAGCAAGGCCTGGTGTCCAGATTTCTGTCCCACATGTCGGAGATGAGCAAGTTCTTTTCCTCCAGCTGAGCGAGGCCTAGTGGAGTGAGAGCCTACGTCCTGCCCTGGGGAGACAGGCAGGGAAGGTCAGGGAAGGTCGGAGCAGGTCCGGGAAAGTCACGGAAGGTGAGAGAGGGACCTTCCTGCTCCTGTGGATTTCTCAATTTCCTGCAGCTTAAAATATTGGGGCAGCGTATCCTGAACCCCATCAGGCTTGCAGAGGTTGAAAGGCTTGCCCACACTGGGAGCTGCTGAGGCGGGTCCTATCCCTGGTGTCAGGCAAAGAAGCCCAGGGGCCCTGCCACACTCTCTCAGTCACCACAGCCACCCAGATCACAGGGAGTGACCGAGAGAGAGGCCGAGTCTGGGTCCGAGACCTGTCCTGTGAGAAGTCTCCGGGTCAGGGAGCAGCGGCTCCCACAGCTGGCCTTGCTGGGGTACAGTGACCCCCAGCCCCACAGCCGCTGCTGGGTCTAAGGTGTTTATACAGGGCCTCTGGTTCCCTCAGCTCAGAACGTAACGGGGGACAATGGTGAGGTCACAGTGGTTTCCAAGGTGTGGAGTACAGCGGTCTCCCCTAGGACTTCACTTGCCTGTGTCCCATAGGGCACTGTCCATGCCCCCTTCTCTGATGCCCTTGGTCCAGGCACCTTTCAGGGGAGTTGCCTCTGAGTGTCCCCAGAGCCAGATGGGCTCAGTCCTGAGACCCCCAGGCTGGATCCCATGGCGTCTGGGGTAGTGACAAGGGACGTTGTATGCCCAGCTCCCCATCTGCAAGGGGCACAGAACAAAGACACCTACTGCCTGGATTGGTGGCCAGGATTGGACACTGGTGCCCAGCCCAGCCCTGGCACGAGGATGGCACTCAGTGAACGGTACCCTGAGTGTGCTCTTCCCAGCCAGACCTGTATCGCCCTCCCTTCTGAGCTCAAAGGTGTGAAGCTGCTGCTTTAAAAAAACAAAAATTGCTACAAACTGGTGCACGCTTGTCATCCCAGCACTCGGGGAGGCTGAAGCAGGAGGATTGCGAGTTCAAGTCCAGTGTGGGCAGTGTAAGAAGCCGCCAGACCCTGTCTCAAAATAGAAAATTAAAAAGGGCTAAGGATGTAGCTAGATGTAAAAGCCCTGGGTTTAGTCCCTAGTCACACACACACACACACACACACACACACACACACACACACACAGGCACACAGAGTCCCTATCGCTGGGGAGGGACATTTTCTAGGCATTCCGAACCTTCTGTCTCACAGGACATTGGGTGAGAAAACAGAGGCTCAGAAAAGCCTCCCCACCCCAAGAGAGCTGAGATGGATCTCAGGGCATTCAGACTCTAACTCACACAGGGTCCCAGCCAGGGACATGTGTGTGGGAAGTGGACTTCTGCATTTTTCTGGAGAAATTTCTAAGGCTTTTAGTCAATATTTTCATGCTATTCATGCAATGGGAACAAAGCGATTGTTGCTCCTGAAGGTGTCATGGGTAGGCTGTGGCACCGAGCCAGAAGCACCCGTGTGCGCCCAATGACACACGTGTGTCGACCCTCCTTTGTGCCTGCAGCTCCTGTGGCCTGGAGCTGGGTGAGCGGACAGCCACAGCCTCCCACTGTCCCCAGCGAAGGTGGGGAACAGCAGAGGGTGGCACACCGTGCTCCTGAATGGCCCGTGGCTGCCGAGACCCCAGTGGGAGGAAGGCGGGCGCGGGCAGTGAATACCCAGGCTCACTCTTTAGTCTGTGACCACCTGTTTCCCAGGGCCTGGGCGGGCAGCGGGCCCTGCGGGTTAGGGTGGAACACTCTGCACAGCGCTGCCTGGTGTCCCCGGGACGGACGGGCTCGGAGGGGCCCTGTATCCCCACACTCCAGGGACCACCAGGAGGCTGGGATGGAAAGGGACAGGGAAGGGGTGAGACACAGCGACTGCACTCAGAACACACCTCCACCCCATGCACACCCCCTGCCCCTCCCGCCTGCCTCTCTTGGTCCCTTTCCCATTTGCGAAAGATCAATCTCACTGTTTCCTAGTACCTGTTTTTTATTTTGCTCTTTGAGAGAGAAACTGCTCGATATTTAAACTTGTGCATCTGATGTGTTTCCCTTAACATTATGGTCTCAAGGAGTGTCCGTTTTCCTACAGATGACCCAAGTTTATCCTTCTCTCCGTGGTGTATAAGTAACACATTGTTAATAGGCAATCAATAACATGGTGATGGTGGTAACTATAATAACTAGTGGGCAGATACTGAGGAAAGAAGCGGGGGAGACAGAGGTGGAAAAGAGGAGGAGGAGGGAGGAGGAACAGGTTTGTCCTAGAAGCAGTGCCTATTCCCCGGAAGGCCTGGGTCAGCCTCAGTTTCCCCATCCGCTCATGGACGGGTGGGATGGGAAGCTCCTTGCACCCCAAGGTCTTCCAGCCCAGTAGCCAGCAGGGCCAGGCCGGGTGGGGGACAAGGGCACGGTGGGGCAGCGAGGACAGAGCTATTTTGGTCGAGGAGGGCTTTGTGGGCCCGCCGAGGGGCCCGGGCATTGTGGGAGCCTGTCCTGCTCCCCGGAGGATCAAAGCCACGGCCGGAGGCGGGCCACAGTGTGGCCTGCAGGTGCCCGCGGGGTGGCAGCTGGGCCCCCCTCCCCGGAGGGGACGCGCGGCTCATTGGAGGTAAAAGGTTTTTAAGTCAGATCCAAGCCATTTTGTCTCTGAACAAGCCAGACCCCTGAAATATTCATCAAAGGGCTGGGAAGCGCCTGGGCCCGGTGGGCACTACCTCTGTTTGGTTGTGATTTTTATTTCTAATTAATAGGCTTTCTTACCTAGAGGAGTCTCAGCTCTGCAGATAATTGAGGCGCTGATGCAGGCGGCTCCAGCCCCTGGGGCTCCCCGCTGGGACTGCGGTGCGCAGGGCTGCACGGTGCCGGTGCCCACGCAGCCGGCGCCCACCCTTGCCTCCCTCCCCTACAGGAGAACCCCTACCTGTGCAGCAACGAGTGCGACGCCTCGGACCCCGACCTGGCGCACCCGCCGCGGCTCATGTTCGACCGCGAGGACGAGGGCCTGGCCACCTACTGGCAGAGCGTGACCTGGAGCCGCTACCCCAGCCCGCTGGAGGCCAACATCACGCTGTCGTGGAACAAGAGTGTGGAGCTGACCGGAGACGTGGTGATGACCTTCGAGTACGGCCGGCCCACGGCCATGGTGCTGGAGAAGTCGCTGGACCACGGGCGCACGTGGCAGCCCTACCAGTTCTACGCCGAGGACTGCACCGAGGCCTTCGGCATGGCCGCGCGCCGCGCCCGCGACATGTCGCCGTCCAGCGCCCACCGCGTGCTGTGCACCGAGGACTACTCGCGCTGGGCCGGCTCCAAGAAGGAGAAGCTCGTGCGCTTTGAGGTGCGGGACCGCTTCGCCATCTTCGCCGGGCCGGACCTGCGCAACATGGACAGCCTGTACGCGCGGCTGGAGAGCGCCAAGGGCCTCAGGGACTTCTTCACGCTCACCGACCTGCGCCTGCGGCTGCTGCGGCCCGCGCTGGGCGGCACCTACGTGCAGCGCGAGAACCTGTACAAGTACTTCTACGCCATCTCCAACATCGAGGTGGTGGGCAGGTAAGGTCGTGGGCCGGCGGGGCCTGGGCCGTCGCCGTCTCCCCGGGGTGCTGCTTGAGCCGGGTGTGTCGGCAGCGTCGCCTTGCTACTGGGCGTTTCCTGGTCCTGGGGCTGCCGCGTTGGGCGACATCGGAGAGACACTGACGATGGAGCTCGTGTGGGTGATGAACGTCCTCTCCTCACAGGACCAGGGGCAGGGCAGGGCCGGGGCCGTGCGTCCGGGGACCCCGAGGATCGCCTTGGGCTCAGGATTCTGCAGGACAGAGCCGGCCAAGCCGAGCGCTCACGGTGCCGCTTTCATGCAACGAAAGGCTGCAGCGTAAGACAGAAATAGGATGGTGCCCAGGGTGGGGACCAGGAGCTGCCGGAAGTGGGTTCTCGGGGAGGCCCTGCCTTCTCCCTGCGTGAGCTGTGGGTGACTCCCTGGTCCTGCACCGTCCAGGATCGTGTGTCCACGCGGTGGGCGCCACGCTGGTGTCCGGGGCGGGGGCCGCGTCCCCCGCCCGTCTGTCCAGTGAGGGTGCTCACGTGTGGCCGGGGTCTGAGGAGCTGGCTATCGAGGTGCTCAGAACGGTGTGCGGTGTGAAAAGTGCTGACTAAAATCCGCACGGGGCAAAACCACGGCCGAGAGGGCTGGTGCAGGCTGAGGGAGGGGCAGAGCGCTGGGAGTCGCAGTGTAATTGGGGCGGGAGCGTGGCTGCAGCAGGAGCCTGGCCCTGGGCATGTCTCCGCAGCGGGCTTGAGCTCTGCCCAAGTGTGTGAGTCCTGACAAGTGGAAAGACCAGCTTGCAGCTTTGTAAGCTGCACGACATGCCTGTGTGTATCACTTCCTTTCCACGTCGTGCACAGGCTTTGGGAGGAAGCATGCACAGCTCAGCTCGGCAGAAGCACTGGGCGGGGTGGGGGCGCTGGGAGCCGCCTGCTTACTCGAGGTTGGCTGGCAGCTGGCAGCCCCAGGGGGTGGGCAGGCCAGGGGGGGCTCTGGCTTTCCCTGTGTGTTGTGTCTCGCTCCACTCCGACAGCGGGTGTGGATTCCGGGGCACAGAGGCCAGGCGAGGATCAGGAAGGGGTGTCGGGTTCCAGGCTGGCAAGTGGAGCAGTGTGGGTGCACACCGCCGTGATCTCGAACCCTCTGAGGGGCACAGCACCCGGAAGTCAGGGGTGCTGTGGGTCACCTGGTATCTGAGGGGCCCCCAGATCTTCCCAGGGGTGCAGCCTGTGTTCTGACCACCCCAGGCTGCCACGGGAGGGGAGCTTGTCTCCTTCCTGCTGCTTGTTCAGCAGCGGCTTACGAAGGGCTCTGATGTCTGGGCGGGGTGCGGGGTCCAGGCTGGGATGGTGACAGTTTAAGGCCCAGCAGGACGACAGTCGCCTCTGGTCATGGGGTTCGGGCCTCCTCCCTCCCGCCCCTCTCCGGGCCTTGGTTTTCTGTCTGTGACAGCAGGACTGGGCTGCCCAGAGCCCACATCTCCCTGCACGGTGGCATGTGCTCCCCACCGGGAAGCTGGCACAGCCTGCCAACCTGCCTCTGTGGCACAGGGGTTGGTATGGGGGGACTCAGTTCAGAGTAAGGGCTCCTCGGCAGCTGGTTGGCAGCTGGGCTGTACATTAATTAGGCCTGGTTCGGAGGTTCGGCAAAGGGCTGTCCGCTGCTCCCACTTGCTCCTCCTCAGTTCCTTGGGCATCCAGCGTGACCGGACCCAGGAGGCCCAGAGGGGCAGCGCCCAGTGGCAGGGGGCGGGGCCCCTCAGGTGATGCCACTCTCAGAGTGCCGTCCGAAGGGAAAGCGCACGGACGGACGAAATGGCAGCCGGGAACCAAAGCCACAGGTGTCCACCTCCTACTGCCCTCACCTGCTGAGTGGCTTCTGTGCCGGGCAGTCTGCTGGTACCCCAGAAACCCCGAGCCTCTGAGTCAGTGGCAGCTCCCTGCTCTGCCACAGGGAGCACTGTTCAGCTGGAAGGGGGACCCAGCAGGCAGGGGGAGGCCAGAAAGGGATGGCGACTCACACAGAGCAGGGGACAAGGTGAGGGGACAGAGCTGCAGGACGAGGAGGTCAGCGCCGGTGGCACCAGGGAGCCCAGCCGCAGCACTTCCAGCCACCCTTCCTGTCCCCAGCCCATTGCCAGAAGTCAAGGGCTCAGGGATGTTTCTCCTGCTACACGGGTGAGCTCAGGTGCGGAGCTGGCTTCTAACTGAGCTCAGAGGCTCTAGGGTGAAGTCAGGGATTGAGGAGTGAGGAGACACAGCCTTATCAGCCCCTGCCCAAGCAGCCCACAGGGACCTTGCCAGCCGGGAATGGAAAATAGGGAGTGAGTTCCCTGTCCCTGGAAGCATTCAAGCTGGGCAGGGTGGCACTTGCGGGGGCTGATGTGGAGTAGCCCGTGCACCAGGTGACAGTAACGATGGGACGTGTGGGTGACCAGAGGGAACTCCAGGTGCTCAGCCTCATGTGCCCTGGGCTGGGCATCCCAGCCCCGCCCTCCCCCACCAGGAGAGGAAAGAGACCTGCTGGCCTAACTTCCGGCTCCTCGGACCCTGTGGGGTTGGCTGCTGTCTTTGGGCCCTGGCTTCCTCCTCGTGGATGCTGGTCCCTATTGATTGCTGGTGACTGAGGAGGGGCCGAGCAGACCCAGAATAGAAACAGCAGAGGCCAGAGAAGCTTGGCAGGGGTTGGGCGGGACACGGGCACCTGTCTCGGTCCCTGACTGCGCTCCCCACCCTGCCCCTTCCCTGGGTGCCCCCCTGCAGTGGGGGCCCTGTGACTCCCGGGGGGTGGGGTTCCCACTGCACAAGAGCCAGGGCTCCCAAGTGTACCTCACCGTGGTGGGGTGGTAATGTTTATATTTTGTGGATTTCGCCATTGTTAAAGTGGGTGGTATATGGATGGCTCCGTGCAGACTCTCAGGTGAAAATCGTGGTCCAGCACGACCCTGGGTGAGTGTCCTAGTCCGGCCGAGATCCTTCCCACCTCCCTACCAGGAGCCAGGCCCCTCCCTGTGGAGACCCGGCCTGCAGAGCCCTGGGTTGCGATCAGCAGATCAGCACCGCTGTCCTGTGGTGCTGAAGGAGCACCAGGTCACGGGAGCCTGGCCCGTGGCTCAGGAGGAGCAGGGGCTGCAGGCTCCCGGAAGTGGTGTCAGGTTTGTGTGTGTGGTCCAGGGGGAGGAGCGGGAGACTCTGCTTTGTTCTCCAGGGGCCCTGTGGTCCTCAAACCCCTGGGAGGCCCTGGAAAGGCAACTTCAAGCCTCCTGAACTACTGCTTCCATCAAAGAGTGATGTGGGCCAGGCATGGTGGCGCACACCTGTAACCCAGCGTATGGGAGGCTGAGGCAGGAGGGTTGCTGCTTGAGGCCTGCCTGGGCTACGCAGTGAGAACCTGTCTGCAAAACAAGAAAAACAAAGAGCGGAGCGTACCTAAGGTCCATCTGCTGAGAGCGCTAGTGGCGGAAGCGGACAGGAAGGGTGTTGGGATTGGCCAAGGCCTGGGAAGTGTGAGGAACGTTGTCGTTGGTGCCCTTGTCTCAGTGCGGGGCCCACCCTCAGCCTTGTCTTCTGCCTGACCTCTCTCTGCGTGGGAACTCAGCGCACCCCTTCTTCGGTGGGTGACACTCGGGTTGGGTTTAGGGTGCCCTGGCATGACCTTGAACTCAATCCCATCTGCCATGACCGCTCCCAACACACAGCCACAATAGCTGTAGGACTTCAGCATCCAGCCGTAACTTCCACGTCCTAATGGGGCCCACAGAGTGTGCTGGACCCCGTGGCCTCAGGGCTGACACTCTCAGGGAAAGTGTTAGGGTGAACAAACCAGATAACCACAAATGGCCGGGACGAAGCCGGGGGATGTGTCACGGGGTGGAACTGGCCTGAGACGGGGCGGGGAGGCATGGGTGAGAGAGCAGACAGAGCCCGAGGACTCCGTGTGGCCCGGCCCTGTGGCTGAGGATGCTGTAGGGCCAGGCCGTGTCCGCCCTGCCCCCGCCGCGGGCCTGGGCTTTATCCCGTCGTGGCCGATGCCACCTGGCTGCTGAGGGCTGAGCTGGAGCCCTGGGTCTCTGGCCGCAGAGTCTGGGCCTTGTTGGCGGCAGCCTGGGCAGAGCAGCTGGTGGCGTGGTGACAGGGGCCCCGTTTTGAGCCTCCCCCGTGGCACTTGCTTCCTGGGGCCCATTTCCACTGTGCGGGGGACACACCCCGCTCTGGGACCCTCTCTACCCCGCACCCTCGACTGAGCCTCAGATGGACCCTGCCAGACAGGCTGGGGCCTCAGGACACCATGCGGAAGAGGACCGGCCCCTCTGGCCTCCTGCCACCTCTCCCGCCCACCCAGCTCTTCCCACGCAGCCCCAGCGCCCCCTGTGAGGCTTCCGAGGCCCTCGAGTTGGGGCTCCGCCTGGAGCCGGGCCCACGCTCTTGTCCTCCCTGCCCCTCTGCAGCCAGGCTGAGTCCTGGGGTTCGGCCACCCTGAACCTGTGTCCCCTACCGCCTCTGGGCCATCCAGTGAAGGCCAGGGATCCGTTCGGACGTCCTTCCCATCACTGTGTGGCCCCCGAGGTCACAGCAGTCTTGCCCGGTGGGCACGGTTACCGTGCACGGCTGCACCCTGAGAGGGCTGGCTGGCACTGTGGCACCGGCTCCCAACCCAGTAGGTCGGAGGAATTCATTCATTCACGCACCCACCCGCCCATCCATTCACAGCAGACCGCACTCACGTGAATACTCTTACCTGTCACACGCCTACTTCCTTCCTTCCTGTCATCCCCGAGTCCCGGAGCTCGGCCCGGACTTGCCTGCTCTCCTCTCCGTGCCGGGACGCCCCACAGGGCAGACGCAAGCCCCCCAGGTCACCCCCAGGTCATACACTCGAGGCCCCGCTCCCCGGCTTTCTCCCCCTGCTCCCGGAGGCCGTGTCCGGCTCCGTGGTGGGTAATAGGATTTGTCAGCCCACGGGAGAGGTGATGTACGAGAAAGGACTTAATGCGCGTGAGAGCAGCTTGCGC